GCTTGATGTTGTAGTAGGTTGTGTGCGCGATTTTGTGTAGTAACAACGTTTTGTTGATTAATCGAAAGGTGTTGTTGCTGTAAGTTGTCTATAGTTGAGAACATGTTGCTATTCAACATGTGATGGAGAGGATTCTGTGAGGATTGCATGAAACTGGACGAATCACTATTACTCGTTGAAGAACTATTTACACTATTTGTCAACTCTGACCGAATGTCAAATAAGGAGTTTAAACCTTGTGATTGTATAAATGTTAAATTAGATGTTATTGACTGTGTATTATTGGCATTGAAGGAGTTTGGATTATTACTGCTTGAAATTGGAAAGAGAGAATTATTCTGCTGCTTATGTTGATTATTACTATTGATGTTGTTATCTCTGGGAAACATGTTTGATGAGATTACAGAAAGGTAGTAGGAAATCTGCTTTAAAAACTAAATTACCTTCTCTCAACCTCTTGGAAGAACGAAACTAGAAGAAACACTCGAGTAGTAGAAAGAGTTCAGTGTTTGATGTTGTTTCTTTTTAATATTTTTGCACCACAAACAAGATTGCAAAGGCAATCTGAGCGACGTCTTTTGATGAAATCCAGAAATATACAAAGCGATGGTGGCTTTAATTCCAAAGTAATCTCAACTTCCAACCCTGTCATTACGCACTCCACATAGTTACCCCAATGGTCAGTCTCAATTTTCCAACTCAGAAACAAAAAATATAGCCAGAACAAGTTTAAGACAGGTTGATGTTACTCGTCGATCTTTTCTCAAGCAAAACAACCGAGAAATAACTTTAATTCTTAACAATGCTGGTCTGTGCGAACATGATTTCTGTTTTATCCAAATGAAAGAGATTGTGGGCCAACCAGCTCTCTCTATAACTATTGGAAGCAGTTAGAGTAAATTCAATTGGATTGGCAAGCTTTCATCTTTCATTAAAAATCTTAAGAGTCCGAGTTTCGTACATGTAAAATCAATGATGAACCTTTCTTAATTGTTCAGAGCAATCGTGGCTACGTAGTCACTGGGTTTTGGGGAGGGATTCTTTCATTGTCACATATAGTGCTACTGAAATATAGGAAAGTGGTCCTTATTTACTAATAAGTTGGCAATACGTCAGGACATGTCACAGAATCCTAATAACGCTTACCTGTTGGAATTTCCAGAAACTGTAGGGCGTAAAAAAGCATGACAATGGTTGACAAGGATTCTCCTCCTATTACTGAGCTTTCGTTTCGCAACACGAATCAATAGCATTGACTTTAAACATCATCTAAGGCAACCCGCATATCTAACAGCTGAATTGGAATGTATTCCCTCCCACCACAGAACATACTACCTTCCTTAAACCTCAACTACTTCTAATAATCAAATAACATCCAAATATGACTATGAAAGTTGGTTCTGAATTGTTCAAGGAGAATCCAAGTTGAGTTACCTTTTTAAACTTCTTTTCCTTCATTTTCATTCAGCAAATTGGGTATCACTGGAGAAAAGTTGTTTTGGTCTTGTCTCAATAATGGAGAAATTACTTTATTATTCCCAAACTTCAGTTATTACCAAGATTGTTTAACGTCCTTATTACTTCAATTGTAATTCTTCGTTGGCTTGTCTAGCTTCCATCAATTGTTGTTTAACCATCATTAATTGGATTTTGAACGGGAAATGGTGTCTCTTACGATTCTTTAATAGCCATCTCTTCTT